CAACCTGAGTATAGACACTGATAAAAAAGAACTGCAGGATGATATGTTGTTTCCACTGCACAGCTACAGAACATAAGGCGTAACACACTCACAAGTACTTTCAAGCATCATGAAAACTGATACATAGAATTTAGACCGTAAAAATTGAATAAAGTCCATATATTATTAAGAATAATAACATTTAAAAAAAGGGTTAGTTGTGTAGTGCAAGAAAAATGAAAATGAAAAAAGAGCAACTGTAGGCAGATTCTTGCAACTGTTATTTTTTTGACCGGCTATGATGCTAAAGTGTCTTTGGTTAAACCATAAAACACCTTGCTCCCTCACTGAAGGTTTCTCTGGACTGGAAGGTTCTTTGTTAAACACCTTATATTTCAATGTAGAGGGTTTATCTGTGTTTTGTGTGTCAGAGGGCTCTCATCTGGTGCTGAGCTTACTGACCCACTTTCGCTCTTATCTGCCCTCTCCCTCCGGTCTGCTCACACACTATCACAGATCCTTGTGTTCACTTTTTATTTATTTTTCAAATCAAATCCATGCTTTAACCCAAGACTATTATTTCCCCCCCTCTCTTTCAAACATCTGCTGAGAGTTAAAGGGGACCTATCATGCAAAATGCACTTTTGTATGTCTTTTATACATAAAGATGTGTCCCCGGTGTGTCAGGGAACTCACGCAGCGTCAGAAAATAAAACCCTCTCTCTTTTCCTCCGTACCCAAATCTCTAAAAACAGGGCTACAACGGAGCTGATCCAGATTTGCGTCCGATATGACGTAATATCTGAAATGTGGACCCACGGCCCAATCAGAAACTCTGCTATCAGAAACAATGCCCGACTGTTTTGGATGTAATATGGTCGGTGTTTACATTAGCATCGCTAACACTCAGAGCTAACCTGTACTGGAGAGCATGTGTGTGAAGAAGCAGGAAGTAAAAAGGAACTCACCTTGTGGTATAACCGGCAAGAGAGAAAGCTTTTGAGCTCCAAACTGTTTCAGAGAGAATCCTTGATAATCCATGATATGGCGTTTCATCACGGCAGCATTTAGTTTAGACAGTAGCTGCCGGGTCCCGCATGAGCTCAGCCCCCTCCTTTTTGTTTTCATTTAATCATTTTCTCTTTTTTTTTAAGCTTTATACCCAAATCAGCACTTTTGAGACAGGAAGTGAAATAGAGGGATATGAGGCATGGCTAGAATGGGTGCTCTGTTTGGTCTTTTGAGCAAAACACTTCATCGACATGTTTTTTATATATTTGTATATATCTGAGACCTATGCTATTGCCTACAAATATCATGATAGGTGACCTTTAAAGAAACTTGTTTTTATAGACAGCGTTTATAGTTAATCTGGTTATTCGTGATATTTGATTAATGCCAAAAGAGCTCTCACTTACTTGTGGAAGCAGATATAGGAAGACTTTTGTTTCTTCCAGTAAATTTACTCCGATAAAATTACGGGAAACAGCCGGAGCCTCTCAGGGCGCTCAACAGTGCAGAACATATACTACCAGATGTATTGCCATATGTTTAATAAACCTCCATTACCTCTTTTTGTAACATCCTAAAACTTTAAAATGAAATTCTTAATGTTACTACCAGATGTATTGCCATGTAATAAAGCTCCATTCCCTCTTTTACCTCTTTAACGTTAACACGTCTTCTTGTATGGGTGAGAGCTTCTGAATGCACACTTTAAATGTGTTTCTTCAGGGCGCTCTGTGGCCATTTGTTTCTCCTGCTGTAGCATTCCTCTCTGCTGGCTCATTGATTCCTGCGAAACACAGAAAGAGCATGCAGGCCTGAGGTTGAACATGAGGAAGTGTGAAGAAGTCTGCTAGCCTGCAGGAAAATACTTTACATTTTTCTCACAGTGCAGCGAGTACTGTACAAGGGCTAAAAAAACAAGAGGGGGATATTTAATGCGTCTGCTCTCTTGATATGGGCCGTGTTGTTGTACAATAGCTTCTCTATGGGAGGCCTCTCCTCCAGGCTGATATGTTGCCTGTCATTCTCCCTCTCTCCTCTCTTTTCCCTCTCACTCCTCCTTTCCTTCCCTTCCCTCTCTCTCTGTTTCTGTTCTTTCGTCCCTCTTCTCCTCTCCACTGTGTCACACAGTCACTCATTCTTCCCATATAATCACTGCTTTGCTGTTCTGAGTCTCAGACATAAGGGCCCATGCACACACAAACCCATTGTTGTGCTATGTAGTAAGTATTTGCACATAAACATTGAAACAGGCCTCAGATAACGTTCACTTAGTACTTGTTGATTTCATGCATTTGCATAATCTTATCAGGTAACTTCACTCTTACTATTTTTGTCATGTTGGAATTTTTACCTTATTTAATCAGTATCAGAATTCCTTTATTTGTTCCACAAGGGGAACATTTAGATTGTTACACAGGGGGTCCGCGGGGTCTTAAAAAGTATTAAAAGTTGATAAATCAATTTAGCGAAAATGAAGGCTATTAAAAAGTATTAAACGGCATCTTCCAAGGTATTACATTTTGTAGCTTGTTTTCAATAAGTATATAAATTGTCCAAAGAGGTTGTATTCTACCGTCTGCCTGAATGTAATCATTGCGTAGGTGTGTAGTGTGATTCTGTGTAGTTTATTGATGGCATCCCGTTGGATGTGACGTCATCTGAACAGGACATCGCACGCTCACTGCTTGATAGCGCGAAGGTCCGTTTACGCCGGTTGTTAAACAACATCGTTATGGGGAAATGCAAGTCTGCGTTCAAATGGTTGGAAGATAAGGAGGAAGGACAATCAATACTGTATATAGTCAATGTGAGGTAAAGTGTGTCGCCAATGTAACCGGTTAGAACTCCAAGTGGCGATGAGGTCTTAAAATGTATGGAAAGGGTCTTAAAAAAGGTATTAAATGTGACTTCAGGATTCCTGCATATACCCTGTTACAGCATAAGTAAAGATGGAGACAACAAATAAACTATTAGATAAAGGGAATGCAGATAATATATACAATGTATAATAAAGAATGAAAGGTTATTACAATTGAATAGTAAGACTTGGCTAAACAGTGCTGGTTGCTGGCCCCAATATATAATGAATATACTATACATTTGGTAATTGAAGAATTGTGACCAAGATACTCAAACTAGACAATTTCTTAATGTTCTCAAACCTGATCTTTGTATTTCAATTTCTTGTGTATTGTCTATTTTCATGCAGATACCGATGTATTTGTAATAAGCTAATATTGGCCTGGACAATTGAACGTCTGTCATAATTTAGACAAATCAAACAAAGTTATTTTAATTGATCCCTGTAGGGCAATTTTCTCCCTTTCTTGTCTCCATTGTTGGGTCAGAGGTCAGCCTCAGTAACAGCTTGATAGCTGGAGAGCTCAGAGCCTGGGGTGGATACTTGCCATAACAGGGACTTCTATTTAGACGGACAATCTTGTAGATTGGCATCTGCTATCTGTTCCACTCTGTCCTCTAAGACCAAAAGATAAAGCATGGTCTGACCTATATGCTGTGATTTAGGGTGTTCATGTTTTCCGTTAGAGATGGGCAATGGCTGAGTTCTGCATGACTCTATAGCATGTACATGTACTCATGCATGGTGGGTGCAGGTCCAGACTTGCCAGCTAGCTAACCGCTTTAGCTTTGTTATGGAGTATTTCTCAGGCTGACTGATTGTACTGCATACACTTATGTGTATGCAGTACAATGTGATGTATAGTGAGTCGTGATTATAAGGGGAACATTTGGCAGGCCCTAATTTGTCAGTGTTTTTTCACATTAAAGCAAAGCAGCATGTCAGTTGTAATTGATTAAGCAGCTCCATGCAGGTTTATATGAATTATTGTGCTTTACAATGCTGTGTGTGGAAGTCAGTAAACGCTCTGTAAGAACGTTGGGCCCTATGCCTCTTATTATTTACGGTTGATTCATTCAGCAAGAGTTATTTAAAGTCGGTTACTAGCTTAATAAAAGTCAACATAGTGGACGATAACCGGTGAACTGAACACACATTTGGGCTTTTTGCTATGCAAACCAATACTCTGTGGTTTAAGGGTTCAGTACTTTAAGGAAACCTGTGTCTCCTGTATTCACATCACACATGTTGACAAATGATATTCACAGTTTGAACCGTTTTGAGCATGTTAGTAGGGCTGCTCAATTAATCGTATTTGAATCGCAATTACGATTATGGCTTGCAACGATTACGAAAACAACGTAATCGAAATAAAATAATTATTTTTTTATTATTATTATTACTTTTAAAAAAAAACGTTTTAATTAAATTACATTTGTATTGGTTGAATTATACTTAAAGTTCAGGGTAATCAACTGTTAAAAACATACTGTTCAACATTTTGTTCTCCAATAAATGGATGTTTTCAAAGTAAATGGATAATCGTTTTTAATAATCGTGATATCAATTATTGACCCAAATAATCGAAATTATGATTTTTGCCATAATCGAGCAGCCCTACATGTTAGTGCAGAAAATCTGCAAAAAAAAATCTGTCTTAACAACCCGACTGTTTCTCTGTTTGAAGATGATGTGAACGAAGGTGATGCATCTTAAGAACAGATGCTGTCAGCTGTCAGTGCTGTGTGACTGGACTGGGTTGATTTGACTCTCAGCCTCCTTTAGGTTTTTCCTGTCATACTAACCTCTTGTCTTTGTGTGTGTGCAGGTGTGTGTCAGTGTGTGTGTGTCTTCTTGTGTATGCTGCAGTCCACAGAGACAAAGCCAGGGCTTAGCCGTGTCTCATGATTTATTCATAGTAAGAGTGGCTGTGCAGGTGTGTATATGCGCTGTTGTTGGTCTGTGTGTGCAGGATGCTTATCAGGGTTTTAAAACCTTCGGCATTACGATACAAGCTAATCAATTAAACTGATGGTATTAACATGTAGAATAGATATTTGGCTAGATGGAGAAACAGTGATAAGGGAATTGATGAATTTACACCTTTTTGTCTTTTTCACTCACCTGTCTCTTCTCTTCTTCCTCACAGGCAACCGGACAAACTGGTGGTGGTCTGGACGCGCAGGAGTCGGAGGAAATCCTCCAAGGTTTGTATTTGATGAGTTCCATTCTAAAACAATATAACTAAAATAAAGTTTCTCCCCTGCAACTTTAATGCTCTGTTCTTTTTGTCCCCCCGCCCTGCAGGCCCACAGCTGGCAGCCTGGCATCAAAAACCCCTACAGAGGAGTGGTGGTGTGGCCTGTCCCGGAGAACATAGAGATCACGGTCACACTTTTTAAGGTGGGCTACAGCCTTTTAAATTAACACTAACACACACCTTTATGTGTTAAGGTGGACCAGGGATGTTTATGAAACATCAGGGGCTTTATGCCGTTAAATAGCCCATTCACACCCTGTCTTAAAATCGGAGATATAGCAGCAATTGTTGAGTTTTACCTAAATGGATGACCCCCTAAAGCAGCATAATGTATTTCTCTTTTGATATATATTTTTAAAAACTATATAAAAGGGTGTTTGTTATAAACAAGTATAAGACGAACAATTTGAAGTGTAAATAAGAATTTATTTCTGAATGGAGTCTGCCAGGACTGTTGATGTTAAAGGAGTTGGGAGAGTATTTTAAGGTTCAAGGTTCTTTATTGTCAAACTAACATAGCTACAGAGTAATTATGTCGTTGAAAATCTTGGGTCACAGGCTTCTCCAACAATTCAAAAATGTATTTTAATGTATTTTTTGACTAAAAGGTCTGTGTACATGTGTATATGTACAGAATAACAGTTGTGTCTGTAAATGTCTGTGAGTGTACAGACAGTATCTGTCACTGTGCCTGCCTTACTTAAACATGCTGGCCTTGGAGCTGACAGGCTGCTTGGAGCTGAGTGTCCTGTTACCTCTCCGTGTCTTCACCAGACCTCCTGCCACACATACCGACGTACCTGCCTCTGCTTATAACTTATAAGGCATACTGTGTTGTCTGTTAAAAGTATAACCCCAATTTGTATGTGGACTGGTTCAGTTGGTAAGCTTCTCTTGCTCTGTTGTACAGTGTCCCTCTGTTCCGGGCTAACTTCCACTTCCTGTCCCAGAGGAAGTAATAAAGCTGTTTTTGTAATGAGACCCAAAGCCAAGCCACTGAAGGCACAGTTGAGCCACATCTGGTTGATAAAGCCACAAATTAAACAGCATTCCCTCTCCTTTATCAGATGCCCTTCAGTCTTTATTAGAAACGTTTACTTCCACTATAGTGCTCCAGTGAAAACTAAGTTATTTTCTGACCGTTGGGTGATACACACCACCCTGATTAGATATAAAGTGTTGTAGAGTTCAACTTCTCACATGGTTTGGTACTACTTACTTGCCATGTAAGGGAATACAAAGTAATGATATAGCAGACCCTGATGCAAGGCTTTTGACCATATGTCTCGCAGGTCCACCAGCTTTATGTACTAAGTTAAATAAAGTGCCCCTTTTAATTTAACATAATATTGCTTTATGCTGGTCTAAATCTGTACAAATGTAATAACCCACAGTTTAGATAAGTCTGCAGTGAGTCGACTGAATGTTGAAGCTAACAGTGGTTTAATGATGCTCTCATACCGCTCTCTGGCCTGAAGCGCTGCAGTGAAGACAGCTGAGCTCAGCAGAATTACAGCTGTTCCTCGGGGAGATGAACACCAGCAGGCAAGCCTTAGCTGGAACTTTTTACACGGCGAGAAAACACTGAATATGTAACGTAACTTTACTGGGAGCGCTCTGCAGACAGAATCGATCATAACAGAGACATAGTCCAGAAAGCAGAGCGGGCACTTTGCACCAGCCAAACCTTAGAAATCCATTTGGCTTGTTACATTTTACACATCTGCATTTTCCAGAACTGTAGAAGCTTAATCAAACCTTGTTATGTAGTGTGTGTTTACCAGCAGCATTACAACTCTGCAGACACCGTAAAGTGAGAAGACGTCAGGCTCGGTTGGCTTTAGCAGCAGTTTACGTGGCAGTGAAACAATGGAAGGATGAAGCAGCTGTATGAGTTGCTGTGTGTGTGTGTGTGTGTGTGTGTGTGTGTGTGTGTGTGTGTGTGTGTGTGTTTGCGTCCATGTGGGTGTTATGTTTGTCACAGGCGCAGTCAGACCGAAAGGCTGTCAGTGTTTGCGTGTGTAGGTGTTAAAGGTCCTTACACAGTACACACCAAGCCGATTTCGGCCGTAGATAGATGTCTGGCCGTCGATGAGCGTCCTGTCGCCCTTCTCAGATTGGTGTGTCCCGCCTCGTCGTGTCTTTTCAGCCACGCCGACACCTTCCGCCGACGATTCAACATGTTGAATCGGTAGGCTGTCGGTAAAAGGCCGCCGGCTAAAGAAATCTCTCTGATTGGCTGTTCAGTTTAGCGAATCAGTGCATGAGAAGCGAAACGGAAGTGAGGGACCCAAACAAACTATTAAGAAGGCTGAGATTTCATTGAACTCCAGCTCTCGACTCAGGTTCGGGAAAGCCCCGTGAGCTTCTCGCTGTAGAGAAAATGGAACGCACGCTATTTGTTGTTTGTTTATATCACGATGTCTGTTCTTCTCTCGGTTATCACGCAGTCTGTCTTCCGGTTGTTGCCTCTTTTGAATGACGAATACACACTACCGCCGCCTGCTGGTAAGGAGAGTTATTGCCACTCACGCATGCGCAGTTCGTACGTGCTACTTGGCCGTCGGCTGAAGTTTTTGCGGTGTGTTCCAGTGCGACTGTTGGCCAAGACGCAGAGACGCGAGGCGACGCAACAGTCGTGGCCCATCGGGACGTGTTCTTTGAACACGTGGCTGCAACAGCCGATTATACTCAGTATTGATTCATCACTTTGTTTGTAAAAGACAAAAATAAATGGCATCGCTTTAAGGATTCAAAGGCTTTATTGTTTTCTGCACAAGAGCTACAGAATCGTTTTTTTAGCCCTGAAAACTTAAAATCCCAGGCTCCACTAACAATGCAACATACAGTATCGCAAAATCATATGATTTTAATGGTTATCCCCAAGGTGTATCATTTGTGAACATTTGCATCAGAGACATGTTAGCAGCTATGTCCTTTTTTGCATTTTAACCTAATAAATGACCACACTAACAACCATATAACATGATTTAGTTGTTGGTGTTATTAAACTGGTTAAGCTGTGCATTGTGAATAAGCTAGTGTGCACAAGAGGAGGGGGTTGATTACATTATATTAGCATGTCTTTGTGTGTCGAGCAGTGATTTGTGGTTGCGTGTATGAGCTCCTGGAGGGCAGTGAAGGTCGCCTGTGCTCGGCTGCCTGCATTACTGTCTCCTCTCAACACCGCGCAGATATACAGGCAGGACATGAGACATCACAGAGGCAGTAATACAGTATATCAACAGAGACGGAGAGAAACATCCGTAGTTTTCTATATTTCTGGCTTCTCATTTAAATATTTGTGTATTGGTGTTCCTGTCCTGTTTCTTGCAGAAATCTAGTTTACAATCACATCTATGGTAAAACACACTTGCACAACATTTATACATAGTCAGTCAATTGATGTTGTCCTGGCAGAGTCAACATCTTTTTATGAATGAAAAGACACCTCATTAAATCAAAACATTTAGCACGTGTATGAAGGGAAACCAGGTCAGTGGGTGAGTGGAGCAGAGCAGATGCGATATCACTCAAAGCTGATTTATTTTTGTTGTTGCAGCTTTTGTGTTGGAAGTTTTCTGGCAAGGTTTTGATAATATAAACATTTCAATCAATTTCTTTAAGATTGAGCAATTGAGTGTTGCCTAAGACAGCCTAGATATATTTTTGTACGTGTTTTTTCATTCTCTATCAAATTACCATACTGTGGTTGCACTTCAATATTCTGTGTATCGGCATACAGTTCGGCAGCGGCTCAGTCAGTAGGGGGCTTGGACTGTGAGCCGTAGGGTTGCCGGTTCAAATCCCCAACCAGACCTAAATATGGAGAGTGGACTGCTACTTGGAGAGGTCCCAGTTCACCTCCTGCCCTGTCGTGGTGCCCTTGAGCAAGGCACCGGACACCCCCCTTCCCCCCTCACTCCCATTGCTCCCCGGGCGCTGTACAATAGCTGCCCTCTGCTCCTAGTACTAGACTCCTGGTACTAGGATGGGTTAAATGCAGAGAACACATGTCACTATGTGCTCTGCATGTGTGACCATTAAAGAGGGTTTCATCCCTCCCACTCTATTCTATTCTATCGTTTTAAAACATTGCTTTTTATATCGCCCTTGCAGGACCCCCATGCAGAGGAGTTTGAAGACAAAGAGTGGACATTCGTCATTGAAAATGTGAGTACCATTTTGTGTTTTCTTTAACATTCAGAGGGGGGGAAAGGGTACCGTATGATTAGATGCCTTCCTGAAAGGCATTTACAATGACTGATGGTGACAACCTTTATGTAAAACACACATATAAATCTGCAACCTCAGCTGTTTTCTGGGTGAATCCTCTTTGTATAACATGTGCAGGTTCTGCCTCCTTGTGGTCATGCTATGCTATTACATGCCTCTCTCTGTGTGGAGTGTAACCCTCAGTTCAAACTACATGTGTCTACTTTCATCATGTTGGCATACATGCTAAACCACAGTGAGTTTTAAGTCAGGTGTGTGTTTGTGGGTGAGTTTGTGGTATTATCAGCCTGCATACATATTAGCAATTGGAACGGCCACTTCCTGAGGTCAAAAACGTTGTTACTCATCCACCAACAAGGGCTGGCTGTAGTTATGTATCCATTTATATAGTCACTCATTTATTTGTTCAACAACATTTTTACAATTTAACTTATAATGTTTTCTTAAATGTCGGTTATCTATCACACTGCTGTTCAAGGCAACAGAAGCAGAGGGAGAAATCACTGACTGTTTGCAAGGCAAGGACAAACACATGCAATGCAGTATAATATAAAAACTAGGGCTCACAGTGAATAATAAAGCGCAGGGAAGGAGAAGAGAAAGGTGTTGATGGAGCAATTTGCTAAATGGAAGGGATGGATTGAGTGAGGAGGGAGAAAAAGAGAGGAAAGTGTACCAGTGGCCAGTGATTAGCTGTTTTATACATCTGCTGGAACCCATTTTGTGATATGTTGTGCTTGAAAGATACTCATAGATAGATAGAATGGATGGGATGAAACCCTCTTTAATGGTCACACATGCAGAGCACACAGCACACACATAGTGAAATGTGTTCTCTGCTTTTAACCCATCCTAGTACCAGGAGTCTAGTACTAGGAGCAGTGGGCAGCTATTGCACAGCGCCCGGGGAGCAATGGGAGTGGGGGGGGGAAGGGGGGTGCCTTGCTCATGGGCACCACGGCAGGGCCCAGGAGGTGAACTGGGACCTCTCCAAGTAGCAGTCCACTCCATACTCCATATTTAGGTCTGGTCGGGGACTTGAACCGGCGACCCTACGGCTCACAGTCCAAGCCCCTACTGACTGAGCCCCTATTGACTGAGATGAACAAGGCCATTGTACCACACATTAGCCTTTCTTGTTTATCTCTTGGTAGAAATGTGTAGTTATTCCAAAATGATTCGCTAGTGTGTGTCTACACTGTGTCAGTGCTGTGATGTGGTTTTCTCCTAAACTCAGTGTTATTGGAGGAAAAACACTTCTGCACACCCAAGTGTCTCTCCACTGGTTTTGATGGAGATAAATTGGATGATAATTGATTTTGCCTTATTAGAGCAGAGGTCACGACTTCCCACAAGCAGGGCCTTTTGACCTGGTGGGGTTTCACTTCAGCAGGTTGCCCCCCCCCCCCCCCTGCTGGATGTACACTGAGACACATCACAGCCTCCCACTTCAGTGCAATTCCTTGAATTGACTGGTCAACGTTTTGAAAAAGCCCATTGTGCATGATTACTAATGAAGTCTTTAGCATGTCTGTCACACGGTACGACTGTTACTGAGAAATGCAAGCCTCGACACGCCTTGCTTAAACTGTCGTTATGGTAAGAAGTGAAGAATGTCATTCACCATTAAGGAATAAACAGTTGTTACCTGTGGTTTGTTTTTGCTGGCATGCAAGTATTATTCATTTTGTAGCTGTCTTACACACTTAAAGGTGGGGTAGGTAAGTTTGAGAAACCGGCTCGAGATACACTTTTTGTTATATTCCATGGAATGCTCTTAACATCCCGATAGCAATGAATATCTGAAGTGCTTTGACAAAAAATCCATACAAAAAAGTCACCTCTGGAAGCCGTGGCGCTGTAAAAAGCACGACCAATCATCTGAGCCGGCCCGGCTAAAGTAACTGGATGGCCTACCTGCCTGTCAGCCTTCCATCTGTGCACAAGCTTATCTCGTGCCCTCATTGGTCATGTGTGTGTTGGAGGAGGGGCTCTGTAAGGAAGTGGCAGATTTTTTCCGGCTGTGTATTTTCAAATTCTAGCGCACTCGAGCTGGTTTCTCCAAAATTACCTACCCCACCTTTAAGTAACATGTATTCTATAATTCTTGCGAAACATTAGTTAGTTTGTTAGAAACTTTACTGACTTCACGTATTCATGTATTACAAGTAAGAAAACGTTAAAACATGGGGAGAGCTTGGAGTTCGATGATTTGCAGTCAAATGAAAGATAAATGGGTCTATTATAAACAGTCTGAAACGAGGAAATTCAGCAAGGACTGGGGTCAGGATGTGGCACTTTGAAATGTATTATTTGTATGTATCTACTTTAACTTATTAGGGACACATTACAGATTCATGGCCCAAGTTTTAGAGGGAAATGGATGGGAGAAATGAGATGTCCACTTTGACTGGAATGAATCGTTAGACCGTGGCATTTGAAGGGGTTATTTAAGGGAATAGGATGAGCAAAGAACTCTTAAATGAATACTCAGAGCTGATGGACTTCAGAATGCTTTGATGTGAGTCACCAGTGATCAGCAGGGACAGACCTCTGAGACTCCTCCACTCTTTTTTAAGAATGCAGCAGAGTTGGCTGAGTGCTCGGCCCCTGTCACTTTCTGTACACGTCAAGCTCAAAGGCACGACAGCAGCACACACCGCTCTACCTTTCTCTCTTTGATAGAAAGCTGAGAAGACAAGCAGGTCAGCCGGTGCTCTCCGGACAGAGCGTGGGAAGAGAGCGAAAAGAGAGCAAGAAAGGGAAGAAAAAGTCAAGTTTGTGGGTTTGCCTGTGTCTCTGCATACCTGACTAATGACAGAAAGATCAAAGCCACAGCAGAACCCTGACAGCAGGAATGGAGAGCAGAGAGGAAAGGAAGAATGTAGGGAAGGAGGAGAGGAGAAGGCAACCGTATACCCACACACTGTGATGAAGAGGGAGGGCAATGATGAGATGATGGCCACAGAAAGATGATGTGATTAAGGTTGAAGGAAATGGAAAGCAGGTGTATATAATGATTGCTTTAGGAGTTTATTTTCTCCATTTAGTTTAATTAGTTTCTTCTATGAGATGACTTTTATTTCTCCACCCCTCTTCATAAAAATTCTCACATCTCAAGCTTTCTTATTTTGCTCATAACTCTAGTGTCACAGGTATCATGTCAAAACAGTGGCTCAAAGTCTTGACCTCTTTGTCTCAACATGTTTTTTTAAAAGTGTGATTTCAATCTTTTTGCCTAGGCGTAATACCTTTGAGGTAGGTTTGAGAACTAGACAAATGCATGCATGGAAGATTGCAACTTTTTTAATGAAAGTATGACTTTTTTCCTACATAATTACACTTAAAGGTCGGGTAGGTAAGAATGGAGAAAGCAGCTCGAGTGCGCTAGAATTTGAAAATACACAACCGGAAAAAAATCTGCCCCTTCCTTCAGACTTCCTTACAGAGCCCCTCCTCCAACACACACGAACGCGCACATGACCAATGAGGGCACGAGATAAGTTTGTACACGAGATGGAAGGCTGACAGGCAGGTAGGCCATCCAGTTATTTTAGCCGGGCCGGCTCAGATGATTGGTCGTGCTTTTTACAGCGCCACGGCTTCCACATATGAATAGAAGAGGGAGGTGGTTAGAGACGGAGAGAGAAAGGAGAATGAAGAGGGATTGAGGAATGCCTCTAATGCAGAGTTGCTCTGATGGCAGCAGATGAAAGGAGGAGAGTCACAAACCAACCAGCCCTTAAAAGGTCTAATCCTAACTGGGAGTGGGACTAACCTCCTGCTAGCTCACAGGCCAAACACAACACAAAAGAACAGCAATATTGCAGAGGTTCAACAACATTAATGAAACCTCCAGATATAAAAGCTCCACACCAAAGCGCCAACAGGCTTAATGATAGTCACCCTGACCACAAATAAAGATCACCCTTCTCCTTAACACTCCCTCAGCCTCCCAACAGGGTCACACTGGACCTAAATGTTTATTTATGTCATTACTATGTGTGCTCCGTTTAACCACATGACACACACATTTATATTAAACCCATTAAACAATGTCCAAAAAGGCAAGACATATTTAATGAATATATTAACAGGGAAGCCTTAAAAGCCTTTTTGCAGCATGGACATGAGGGAAATTGACATACACACATCTTTAGGCTGAGATCTAGTCTACGATGAGAACCTGTGCAAACACTGGGATGCAACTTATAATGATATTGCTGTTATGGATCAATTTGTTTTATTTTAGATTTAAAGGTAGGGTAGGTAAGAATGGAGAAAGCAGCTCGAGTGCGCAAGAATTTGAAAATACGCAGCCGGAAAAAATCTGCCTCTTCCTTCAGACTTCCTCACAGAGCCCCTCCTCCAATACACACGAACGCGCACATGACCAATGAGGGCACGAGATAAGTTTGTGCACAGATGGAAGGCTGACAGGCAGGTAGGCCATCCAGTTACTTTAGCCGGCTCAGATGATTGGTCGTGCTTTTTACAGCGCCACGGCTTCCACAGATTAATTTTTGTTATTTATTTATTGTCAAAGCATTTCATGTATTCATTGCTATCGGGATGTTAAGAGCATTCCATGGAATATAACAAGTGTTTCTGACGTGAATTACCTACCCCACCTTTAACAAGGACTTCGATATTTAGGCTGAGCCTCTTGTCCTGATACCGCTATAGTGTTTGGTCTTCTTCTGGTTTTTAGTCTTAAAGTTGAATGCTGCTTTACGCATATTATCACAGAAAGTGCACATGCAGTGACAGCGTCCATACATAGACACATGAAATAAAAACAATTTGTTATTCTCAGCTTCACCGACAGTACATATTTAATTGTGTTAACAGTAAAGCTACTATACATATTATTTTCAAACTGAATGAGTTATGTTTCAGGCCCAACAACATCCAGTGTGCCATATGTCGATGGCTCC